AAATATATAATATATATAATTGTACCTTGCATAAAACGAGTCAGAAAAATGCACAAAATCCCTGAAAACCACGGCCATACTCCAGTATATTCTTAAAAATAAGTCCTCAAAGATAGTATCAATAAAATACAGAAGCCTTGAGACAACTCTCAAGCCTAAATAATAGAAACCCTGTTGCAATATGAAGCAGCAGCACGGTTTTACCCTTTACGTGACACGGAAAACCACATTTTATAACCAGTGACAGGGCTGAGCAACCCAGTGCTTTCACAGCTCCTGATCTCCAACTGGAAAACCCCGAAATGCCCCAATTGTCTGAAGGACAGAGCTCAGAAAACTGAATTATATCACGAATGCTATCGCTAGCACGCTCAGCAAGCCGAGGGACGTTATTTTCCACGGAAATATGGGGAAAACTTCACTGTTTCTTTTATAAAGCACTTTGAGATCTCCTGATAAAGAGAAGTTGAAGCACACAGTGTGGATCAGCCTTGGGGAGTGACTCTGTTGTATCACACTCGTGGTACCTTTATTTGCAGCACGAAAACAAGAGGAAAAATTGGGTTTTCCTCATTTCAAAGAGGTCTCTCATACATAGCTACGCATCCTGGGGCTCCTCGTTTGGTCCTACACTGCCCCAAAGCCCAAACCCGCCCAGGTAACACACTCTGATGTGGTTAGCGAGGTTCTTCTGGGTACCAAAGCCCTTGCCACAGAGAAGACACCCCAAAGTAGGCTGGCTCGAGCGCACGGACATAAGGTGGCGGTTTAAGTCCGTCTTGTCCCGAAACAGCTTGGCACAGTTAGGACACCGCATCTTCTTACAGTGGAAGTGGACGGTCTTCTGGTGCCGGTCCATGTTGGATTTGAGAGTGAAGCTGGCGGGGCACTTGGAGCACTGGAAGCGGGGGAGCTGGGCCGGAGCAGCGAGGGCAGGCGGGGGGCAGTCAGCAGAGTCGAGAGGGAAGAGCATGGAGAAGGCGTGGGTGTGGACGTGCTCCTTCAGCTCCTCCGCACGCTGGAAAACACGCCGGCAGAAACCACAGGTCGCTCTCTTGGCTGGGGCTGAATCCAGGAAGAGCCCATCGGCGGCTACGTCTGCGTCTTCAGATGGCGAGAAACTCGTGTCTGGAACAGAAATACACCAACGTGAACAGATCGGGGCCTGCCGGTGTGAAATAACCATTGCTTTAAACAGGCTTTTTCTCTCTGCTCACCTGAACCTGAGTTATCCAGCTGCCAAAGCGCTAAAAATCCGTCGTAAGCTGCCTGCAAATGAAAAGCATACTTAAGTTAAGGCAAGCATTTCAAAGAATACATCTTTGAAGTCAGTGCTGACTCCTGTTTGCCTTCACCCCGTCTTTACAGTGGGCTCATCACTGGCTTGGGAGCCCTCTCTGCCTTTACAAAGCTGTCCAAGCAGCTAAGTTAACCAGGCCGTATTGGGCAAAATGTGGTGTTTTGAAGGCAATAACCAACGCTCCTGGTTAGGTCCTGGTAACTACCCAGTTTCCAGTCTCACTAAGTGTCCCTCTCAGGCCAATGGAAAAAGCTGGGACAGAAAATCTCTAGCGGATACAACAGAAATGGAAAATTTTCCCTTAGCCCTACACCGCTCCTTTTTCTTTCCACCTAGAAAAGCCCATAGGAAACCAACGCCTCCTGCGCAGTTCCCCTTATGCAATGCTCTCTGGCACTGCCGATCCGAATTATAAATAAAAGCGGATTTTTCGTGGGTTTTTTTGGTCAGAAACCATTCGCAATTCGCCAGCGTGCGGCAGATGGCAACCCTCTATGGGGCAGAGCCCGGGCAGGGCTGCAGGAGAGGGGGCGAGCAGCTCCCAGCCGTGCCGAGCAGCTCAAAGGTGACTGCAAAGGAAAATCTGTGTTTAACGGACCTGAAGCGATCGTTCAAAAATACGAAGGAGAAGAAAGGCCACAGAAAGCGGTGGATTTTGGGTCAAACTCCTGACTCCTGTAATTCAGAAAGTCGGATGGTTTCTAGCCAAATTTAGGGAGTTGTAAGGAACCCAAATGCAAAACGGCCCAAGTGGGCAATGGATAAGCTGGGGTCTCAGCCACCTTTATGCCATTTTGGTTCTTGTATGCAATGTTTTGCAAATAAAGGGGTTTTGCAAATAAAGGGCATGTACACTCGAACAGAAAATACAGGTTTTTTGAATGCAAGTTCTGTTGAGGTAAAGCAGAGAGGATAAAATTAGGACAGGGCCAGCCCTGACCTCAACAGCCTCCTAGTTTTAAAATAACCTCTATTTTAAAAATAAAAGCTAAGAGATCAAAGTGTAAGACGTTACGGTCTTACTCCCAGTACTCCCAGTGGGGGAGAATTTGCTTAAACGGACACCTTTGCATTTCAATTTGCGTTTTCCCCACGATCTCACCTGGGTTGAGGTGGGGACATCTCCTTTCGCCGCGGTTTCTGGTGACATTTCACCAGCAGAGCAGCTCCGGGGAGGGCTCTGCGAGGCAATGGGCGCTGCCGGCAGCGGGGGGGACCACGGGGCTTCCACTTTGCCATCGCATTCGCCCCGTGAAGGGTTCGAGTTGGTGCCGGGCCCTGGGGAACACAGGAAACGAATCTCACCCACGTGAACTCGCACCAGCCAGGCTCTTGCAAAAAGGCCTCGCAACGGCGGCGCCCGGCACTCGCAGCTCATCTTCGGCCAGCGGGAGGGAGGCCGCAGCAGGACGCCGATGCCAGGCGCTTTTTTGGGGGTTGGTTTTGGGGTTTTCAAACCAGCCTCCCCACCCAAAACGTGCGCGACGTGTGGAGTCGAATCGCGTGGCACCGCTGCTACGGAGTCCGTCGGGAAGCGGCACAAATATCCAGAGCAGTGGCGCCGCCGAAAGACACCTCTTGGAGAGGCACCGCTGCAAACAGCCACGTTTCAGTCTCTAAGCAATGCATTTCATTCTGCTACTGACTCGATGGAAATTTGTGTCAAAAGATTTGGACCGAGATTTGACCGCGGCGTTTTATTTCACAGAGTCCTGTCAGGCCTTGATCTCAAAGTGCTTTACAAAAGATGGGAAAAGAGGATTTCCTTTCATCCACGGGAGTCCAAATATTTGCGCAGAACTGTTTCACTGTACCTGACAGTTGTTACATCCCAAAACTCTACTGTCTTTAAAGTCTTTTTCTGGCCAAAGCAGAATTGCCCCTTTTGCCCTCGCAAAATTTTATTATTATTTCATTTTATTATTCCAGAAAGTGCCCTGACAATCAGTGACAAATCTACACGGAAATACAGAGCGAGCAATCGCCAAACACCTTGACCGAACCCCAGAACGCCACACTGAGCAGCTCACTCTTTCTGAAACACAAGCAGGCGAAATCAGAAGCAAATACGGCATAAAAAGGCAATAAATTCATATTTAAAGCACTCTGTGCCCTGAAGGCTGCTGTATTTCTAGCACAAAAGAGGCTGATTGAAACCTTTACGTGCACAGAAACCACACTCTTTAATGCAGAGTTTATGCTACGTCCAAGTAACACACGCCGTGGGTCACGACAAAGCATTCGGCTGAAACCACACAGAGGTTTTCAAATGCCAACAGTCCCAACCCCAAACTTTTTATCAGCGCTAAAGGAAGTCTGGCCCCAACCGGGACCTTTGATTTCCCTTCCTCTGCTTTGATGGCGGCTCGAAACCCTTCACAGCTCGGTTAACTCCGTACCAACGCTTCACCGCTTCATACTGCTGCTGTTACCATTGACCGGCAGAACAAAACGCTAAAATGACCCCAGAAATTCAAGATAGGAAAAAAATGGAGGGGGGGAAATGTGAATTCTTGCCTGCCCTGATTCTTTTTAACCTGAACATCCCAAACTGATCCACATGGCCTTGCCTGAAGCTACGCGCTGTGACCGTGGGCAATGTAGAGGTGTCTCTGGGTTGTATTTCCTTCAGTAAATGGCATTTTATATTAGCACACAGTAAAGATAACCCAGCGGGGTCTGCCTCGATTAATTCTCTCCTGGCACCTTTACAGATCACACAGGTTCTTAAGAAACTATGCACTTCTTAAAGCAAAACTTAATGAACGAGCGATGAATTAAAAGAGGAAGGAGAATGAGATGAAGCCAATCACCCAACAAAGGTACAGCACAACAGAGAGGATTTTTCAAACAGCAATTGAGATTTATTTGGTTTCAACAACTGCAAGTAACACAAGAAGAGAAACCCAGACAAACGCCCCGCACTTCGTACAGGAGAACGCAAACAGCGCCTGAGTTCACGTTCCTAAATTTTCCTTAAAATTCATCTCGGCGCAAAGCATTTTAACTTCCACGTCAGAAATCGGAAGCGCTTTCTTTCAGTCAGTTTAGTGTATGGAAAACAACGAGCAGGTTAAGCAGCATTTATATAAACGCAGCATTCTCTGACAGTAAACCACTGCGGAAAAGAGAAAGGCAAAGGTTATTTGATCTCACGTAAAATTGCATTCGTCCTCCCCTAAATCTTGGCTTTGTACTAAAAGTTCTGCCACCAAACGGCACAGTTGACCACTGTGTAAAAAGCATCCAAGGAGTAGAAATTATTGGCTCTAATAAACCGCTGCCTAAAAATATCAGATTAGCTGCTTTGCCCCAAAGAAAAGGGCTCTGTGCACCACGCGATGGCTCGGACAGCGAGCTCCAGAGGAACTGCTTCTATAAACAGCTTCAGTCACAACAGGGTAAACAGGAAAAGCCAAACTTAGACACAGAAAACACAAAATACGCAATGTACTATTCCGAAAATGTGGAAGAGTCGCCCTTGAAGGCAGTCGGGCACCCCAAAATCTGAAGGTTTTCGGACTTTTCTTTTGTTTAAATGAGAAAACAAGGCTGCGAACTCACCAACTCATTTTCTAGTGAGTATTTAAATCCTCATTCCCTTGATTGTAACGGGCAAAACCCGCTACAAGCGCCCAACGAAAGCCTTTCTGTAGAGGTGGTGTAACCGCACAGAGTAACGTTCCCAAAGTTCAGCATCAGAAATGAAATGGGACACACGGAGCTCAGTGCAAGTTGGAAATCAGCAGAGAGTAACCCGCTGTCACAGACAAACCACGAAACCACGTCAAGACGAGGAAAGCAGAACTTCTGTAACATCTCATCTGCAAGACATCCCGGTAACGCACGGGGCAGGGTCAGTAACTGGTGGTACCCAAGGCGAGCTCAGCGTTACCTGGATAACCAAAAGGTGCTTTTTTCTGCAAAATCCGCGTTATCTTTAGGTTTCTGAGAAGCACACGAACGTCAACCTCCATCATAGCAGTGAACACCATAAATTCCCAGAGCCCTTGTGGCATCTGCCTTACCCAAACGGCAGGATGTTTCCATTTTCCCTCTGATTTTACATCAGTTTGAACTGGTTGACGTTCGAAACGCTGTGTTGGACCGCAGCAGCGACACAACCTCCCCCACACCCATTTCCCATCAGCAGGACGTTAAGTAACTTCACACCTTAGACCATCATTACAATATACAATGAATCAGGAAAAAAGAAGATGGGGTAAACTGAAAACCTTGGGGTATTCCCTATTGACTTCTACATCAAATCTGCCCACCTCCATCAGATCTTCCCACCTCCACCTCTGCTTTTTCTCCAGAAAAGAAAAATAAAAGAGAAATGAATGTAGGGAGTGCAGATTGAAAACGCACTTCACATTTCTTAAACTCAAGAGACCGAGAACTTAAAAATCTTAATGTGTTTCCTTTTAAAATTAGAGAAAACCTGTGCTGGTTTGGGTTTCAAAATACAATAAAATAAATCCTTGCTCACCGCGCTCCTGCCTACTCCCCCTGCCTTCTTCTTTTTCCTTTTCTTTTTAAATATAACCCAGGACTTCAAATGACTCAACATCCTCAAATTGTGTTGGAGGAAAAACGTGAAAACCACCTACAAAGCTGGCACCAACCTAGACTGCGCTCTCAGACCTCCTCACCACTTGCTTCAGCGTCACTTCACACGCCGAAAACCCTCGTTAAACCCCACGGCCTGTTGCATTCAGTAACGACCACTGAACAGCAAGCAGGTCGTGTATCAGAGCATCTTTTTCAAGCGATTAAAATAAACCTGTACTTGCGAACAAGATGAAAGCAAGCTTCTAAATCAAATCTGAAACCCTTCAGGCAAGGGGATGGTGGATGGAGGGCGGCCCCGGCGTTATTGCACTTTATCATGACAGAGGCTGAAAGCGCCCATTTCCCCTGTCACGAGTCACAGATCCAAAAAATTGCATTAAAGAACAGAAAATTAAAATAAACCTAAGCTGTAGGACTCAGAAAACCTCCGCTTGCTCTGTTTTATACGGCAAATTCCAACCTTCTCTTCTGAGAGTATTATTAAAATACAGCATTAATAATTCTTCGTTCTCTGCGCACTGGAGAATCAAACTGTTTTACGTTTGCAATGAAGAAAATACAAAAACGCGCTGAACAAGCTGTCCACACAGAGCAGTACACATCCGCGGGCTCACCAGCAGAGGAACATTCATTTCCATGAGCAAACAGAACAAAACCATCAATAGCTGCTCATTCGTTAGAGAGAGGTCTAAAAGCAAACGGCAAGAAGCAGAGATCTACAAAATCACAACAGCTTCCATAGGCACGGGAGCAAAAGTCAAGTCTCTTTTCAGCATTAGGCAATTTGGATTTAAAACCTTTGCAGCTACTCCTCTTAGCATAAGGACTCAAACACTTTGTGTTTTGTTTGTAAGTACCACTGTGCAAACAAGAAGAGGAGAAATTTGAGGACGAGGGCTACAGACACCAAATATCACCTTCCGTGGCTGCAGTTAACATGAGAATTGGATCAGTAACAGACACAGGCTTCCAAATTTTATGAAAAATCGGATTAAGCAGGACTTAAAACTGGATACAAACCTATCAGTAGGGAAAAAACAGACAGCGACCTGTATTTTCTTCTCACTAAAGACTTCACTTAAAAGTGTCGGTGAAACAAAAAACAGATAAAAGCCCAAACTTACGAGAGAGGGAGTGCGTGCCTTTGGGTAAGTACTCGAAGAGCAGCGAGCTGTCCTCGCCCAGCACGTCGGCTTTCAGGGACAGCAAACTGTTCTTACTCAGCAGGGCCGCGCGCAGGTTGGCCACGGTGGCGGCCTGGAGCGCGTCCTCCTTCTCCGGGGTGAGGGGTTGGGAGATGTAGGGGGTGTCCCCGGCGAGGAGGGCGTCCTCCACGCTGCCGTACGGCTCCGGGCGCTCCACTCGGCTGTCGGAGCTGCTGGGCTCCGTCGCCGTCACGTCGGCACCTGCGGGATGGAAAATGCAAAGATCAGAGTTGTGAACCAGTTCCTGAGATGAGGCAACGCCAACCACGCAGGCCACGGGTCCAAATAACCCATCACCACCTATTTTGGCCTTATTTCACACATCTCTATCCTCTTTTCCAGAAGTTTGAAGACTCAGAATCATAGTTATTAAGGTTGGAAGAGACCTCGAAGACCATCGAGTCCAAACATCAACTCAACGCGTCTTAACTTCAGTACCACGCACTAAGGAGGCAGGACAGGAGATGCGTTAACCTCCCTCACAACCAACAGCTGGGTAACACTCTATTTATTTATTTATAACTAAGATTTCAGGGTATTCTGCTAGTACCGAGATTACTTTCAAACATCCACGTTCTGTTTTCCCCATCATTTCACTCCAGTAGCCTGGATTTTCATTCTTTCATTTCTTCCCCGCGATGAAGGTTTTGAAAAATCCAGCCTATAACAGAGGACTGCTAATTAGTACAAACTCCTTGGGGTCATTCATTTGAAAAATACACAGTAATCAGTGGTTCCCAGCATCGATCACAGGGTAGGTTTTATACAGCGGTGATACAGCTGGAATAAAAGCCAAAAATCGGAGACACAGATCAGCCACCTTACAACAGAGACACGAAGAAACCGCATAAAACCACAACAGACTATTAAGGGAAACATCAATTAGCAAAACCAAACAAAGAGCTGTAAGAAGGTTAATTCCTCCTTGCCAAAACACGCAGTTATTTTGGGGAAGGTGTAGTTGAAGTGTGAACTTTGACTCTCTTAGACTAAGTAAGTTGTGCATTTTTATGTCATGAAAAGTCGCTCTCATGCTTCTCCTTTCACAAGGAGCGAAAAGGTCTCTACGAAAAGGGCTGATACCTCCTTTATAAAGTGCTTAAAACCAACTGCAATTGTTTATTCCGGAGTGTGCAGCAGCAAAACGCAGCTGAATGCCCAAAACCCAGCCCAGTACCTGGCCAACTCATGGAAACCTTTGTAATATTGTACATTTAGGGGGCAAAAAAACCCAAATCCAAAGAGCAGGCACTGATAACAAGTGAGGAAAGAGGAGCTGGTTTGCAGATCCTGAACATTTTACCGCCTCCTGGTTGAAAATACATTTGAATTTACTTCATGCAGCTGTTAGAGCCCAAAATGAGCAAGGGATTTGGGTGTCACCCACGCGCACCCCAGCAGTGAACTCACTCCTGTGTGGGTTTCAGGCCGCAGAGCTCACGGGGGGCGAT